TGTGTGTGTGTTAGGGGGGAGATGGAGAGCTCAGCTCATGTCCTCTGGGCTTGGTACTTGTTCAGAAGTGCCCTGATCATTCATTTTCTCTATCTGCCTTTTGCACTTGGATCTGAGGCACCAAGTTTGAAAAGTCCAGAACACATCCCATAAGCCTGAAATATCACCTCCCCTGGTTTAAGCCTCCCTGAAAAGCACTGAGAATCACTGTAGATCTCCCCTGCTCTTTCTTGCATTCTTGCTGAGAGTGAGTTCTTTTATAAGGGCCTCTCTGACATTTGTTCAGTGCCTTTTGCACAAACACAGAAGATTAAAAATATTTGGACAGACGTTCACATTGCATTGTGTATGAATCGCTTTCTGCAACTGAAAAGGTGTGGGATTCTCGAGTCATCATTATTCTCCTGTCTTCCCCCTGCCCCTTTTATCCTTCTGTCTGTGAACATACATTTGGAACACATAGGCACTGACATTTTAATAGGACATAAATCTGCCCACCCAGCTCCATGCATAGCCCTGGACAATTAAAATGGGTGCATTATCATTTTTGTCACGGCAGCCAAGCAGGCAATTTGAGTCCGAGTGACATTTTTATATGATAAATTAGAGCAAGCGCTCAGATTCTACTTGCTAAGCTTCTTTAGCTTCTTAAAAATCCCACTGTTTGGGAGAAATTGCTGGTTCAGTATTGGAGTTTCACACTGGAGTTTCTTAAAGATATGCGAAGCCGTTTACTGAGAAGCACGACAAAGCAAGTCTGCAGAAGGATACGATGTGGACCAAAATGTGGAAATAATGAGTAACAAATGACAACCTACTTGTAATCAGTGGCTTTCTGCAAAAAACAAGGCATTAACTTGAATTAAATTACAACTATAATTTAGTGAACATGGTCTCACTGAGTTTGGGGGGTCCAATTATAATTTTTTGTGGGTATACCTTATGTGGTTCAAGTGCTGTCAGGTGTGGAGCCTTATGTTATGACCTCTTGTTCATTGGCATGCACAGGAGTTGAGGCAACAACAATAAGGGTAGGCCTTGTAATGTTCCAACTTCTTTTTAAAGCAACTGGAAATTTGTCTGTCTATCTGTCTATCTACGTGTCTGTCTGTCTGTCTGTCTGTCTGTCTGTCTGTCTGTCTGTCTGTCTATCTATCTATCTATCTATCTATCTATCTATCTATCTATCTATCTATCTATCTATCTATTTATTTATTTATTTACCCACCCACCCACTCCGCTTTTCTCCTTAAAAGTACCCAATTGCTTCTGAGAAACAGGAAAGTGTTGCTTTTTTGGCTGTTCTTCTGGCTGATTCTCTGGCTGTTCTTCTCTTATAGGGGATAGAACTGTGTCTTCCGCATAGCCTGTCCTCGCCTTCTAAACTAGGCTGTAGCTGTGAGCTACAGTGGGGACTCTATGCAACTGCCAGTGTTTTAAGTGAGAATCAGCTGCCAATCCAGTCAATTTCTTCATGTGAAACAGATGGAGTGTCATCTTGTCCCTGGCTACAGTCATCAAAATCTCTCAGGCCATCCCCTACACACTGCAAATCTGTCTCTGTGTTTTCCCCTCCATTTAGGCTCAATATTGTCTGTGACAACACCGAGTCAGAGATGAATCACCTCTATCCAGCAGTGGCTGAAAACGTCGGGGAGTGCTACCTTCAGAAGGAACCACTCTTGTTCAGCTGCGCAGGATGCAGTACCAAGTACCAGCGCCTCTGTCCATGCCGTGATTACAGGAAAGGACAAGTGGCCCTGTGCCAGGATTGTTTGTGACTCCAACAAGACACGTGCATGGTCACATACCACATGCAATGAATAACTATTTTCTTTATTTCGGTTTCATCAAAGCTTCTGCAATACTCAAGAAGGCTCCAGATGGGACCGTCTACTTGGAAGCTTCTGAAAATTCTTGGATGTCAATGAGACTTCATTGGTTGTTTTGTCTACCAATCTGGGGTGAATGACCCTTTTCCAATATTCCTTTAAGACATATCTCCTAACGTATCTAAGACCACTGGAGCCCTTGAAGAGGCTTGGAAGGATTTTATTGAAAATCTTTTTGAAGGACAAGAAGGCCTGACTTCAGGATTTCATCTTCCTTAAGCATCTTTATTTATTTTTTATGGGGGGAGAGATTGAAATTAAAGTGGAAAAAAAGGAAGAAACGGTCTCTGAGGAATTATTTGCATTGGTTCTATTTCAAAAAGGTTTCTTTCTTTCTAGTGTTCTTTCTGGAAAGTCATAAGAAAGCTGAGGACAAATGGAAGAACAGCAACGATACTGGCAGCCTGGCTGAGAGAAGCGAGTTCAGGACACATGCATCCAGGCATTCCAAATTAGGTATATGCTTATTATGGGTGGCTGGATAGCTCAGTAAGTTAGGTGGGCCGGGAGTTCAGTTCCCCATTGTGCATCCCAGAAGACCCACCTGTGTGGCCTTGGGCAGGCAGCACAAACCCAGAAAAAGGGAATGGTAAACAACTTTGTATGAATTATTACTGCATCATGGATAGAGGGAAGAATTATATCCCCACCATTCCCTGATTTCAATTTCATTGCCCTGCTACAGATGAATCTGAAGAAGGAGAGTTGGGCCATCTATGGACACTCTTCACATGAGATCCCAGAACATTGAGATTATGACTTATTTGGAAAGTATCCATGATTGTGGAGAATTTCCACTTCAGGCTGGTTCTCCTTTTGCACAGGAGGGCACTAGGGAGTGGGGAGGCAGAGCAAGAGTGCCTCCTGTGGCGAGAGTCAGAACACTTGAAGAGATCTATTTAATGAATACAATCACAGCCCCTTTCCCATCAGGTACCCTCCAGGTGGCTTGAACTGTGATGGATCTTGCAAAGACACAGCCACTGCCTGGAAAAACAACCCCATAGATTAGAGGTGGGCAACCTGCAAAGGTATGAGAGCATCCAAAGACCTCTCCTGGACCTTGGAGGGCCGTAGCTGCTTCTCTGACTTGCCCAACTCCAGAATATTTTTCTCTTAAAATAAAAATGCCAATTTAAAAAAAAACAACACATAGTTCTTTTCTAGAAATACTGTATTTTCCATGTATAAAACAACACTTTTACCTTAAATAATTAGACAAAAAACTGAGGGTCGTTTTATACACAGAAGGCAACTGTTTTTCCCTGCCTTTTGCGAAGCCACGGGGCTTAGCAAAAAGGCAGGGAAGGCTCCTGTCAGGTAAAGCAGCAATGAAAGGGCTGCACAATCACAGCCCTTTTATCCTGAAGCCCTTTCATAGCTGCTTTACCCACTTCCTAAGCCCCGCGGGGTGTGGTATGGGTTTTATACATGTAGGACAAATGGATACACCCAAACCTAGTAATGAAAAATAGTCCACAGCTAGAACATTTACATGGTCCTTGATGCACATCCATGCCTGTGAGGAAATAAGAGAGAAGAGGGATTTGGTGTCATCTGAGTGCTCAGTTGCTGTTGACAGCAACTATGCTTTGCAATTAAACCTGGCCTCCTTCCTTTGCTTAGAGTACAGGTGGCTGTTGTGTCTGGAATCACAAAGACGGGGGACCTGTGAGGCTTGTAGGTAGCGAATTTGTCCAAACTTTCCCACCTTTGCAAAAGTGCCATTTCTCCTTGGTTCTCCTTAATCCAAGGTCCCTAGAAAGTCCTTGTGTCTGTTGCCTGAGCTGTCCTCCTGTCCGGGGCTCACATCCTGACGCTCTCATGTCCTGTGATTAGGAGCTGTATCACACATATCCTGTGCTCTGTTGTGAGTATGACGGAAGAATTCATTTCTCCACTGACTTGTCTTCTAACTTCAAAAATGGGGCAAACAATAAAATCAAATAAAACGAGTACAGAAACAACATAAAAAAAGATTAATTGAAACATAAGGCACTTTAGGAAGGAAACTATTAAAAACACATTAAAAGGGGGGGGAGTAGCGCAGAAACAGCACCTGCTAGGATTTACAGCTTCTTCACCAGCCGAGTTTCGTTGCCAAAGATTTGTCTCGATAATAATAGTGATGATGATACTGATGAAGATAATAATAATAAAATCATGATGGTGGAAGTGATAGCAGTGATTTTTCCTGGCTGTGGAGCCAGTCTTGCCTCCCTTAGTCAGAGCAGCCAATGAGAAGTCCAGTCTCTAATCCCCATCAAATATGTCTCTGAGATTAATTGGACCAAGAGAAAGGGCTTCAAAGTTTTCAAAGCTTGAGCAGCCTCATATGGGAAAATACAATCTTCCAGGAAAGCCTGGATGCAAGTCATAAAGGGTTTTATAGGTCATAGTCAGCAATTTGAATTGTGCCAGGAAACAGATGGCAGTCAATGAAGCTTTTGCAACAAGGGCATGTATTCCATAGCCAACCTTGGTGAACAGCGTAGCTCCAATATTTTGGACTATTTGAAATTTATGAACACCTCAAAGGCAGCCCTCGGTGCAGTGTGTTACAGTAGCCTAAGATGCAGTTTATTATAGCCAGATCAGATGTGCCCAGAAATTGAACCAGTTGGCACACCCGCTTTGATGTGCCAATACATCCTACAGCCAAAACCTGTGCATCCACATTCATGGATGAATCTAGGAGTATATCTGGATTCCTAACCTGTGAATCTGTATCTTCCAAGGGGAATAGAACCCCATTCAGCACAAGTAGAGTCCCTATTCTTGGATCTAATGGAACAGAAATGCATAATCTGTATAATCTGGACACTCTCTAAACACTGGGAGGAGTGAGGAAGCAGACAGGCACCCTTTTCACTGGCCAACAGTTAACTGAAAGTTCAAATTTTGCACTTTCCCTGCCTCCCACATGTTTTTTTTTTCAGTTCTTATCTCAAATCTAAGTACTTAAGTCAAGTCAATATTTTCCTATGAGAGCGGTTCTTAAGTCAAAATGTTCTTAACTCAAGCCGTTCTTAAGTCAAGACCCCACTGTAATCTGTATAATCTGGATTAAATTTCAGTTTGTTCACCTGCATCCAGTCTGTTCCTGACAACAGATACCAATTTAAGAATAGAATTGCTTCCTTAGATTTCGACAGTAGAGAAAGTGATTGAGAGAGGTGGATGTCATCTGTACTGGTTTCACAAAACCATAAACTCCCTAGAAACTCTTCTAGTAGTCTCAAGTATGCTAAAAAGCTTGGGAAACAGGACAGAATCCTACCTTTTCAAATGAATCAATAAAGATACTTATACTCCAGCTACTTGACTGTCTTAATTGTTTTGTGTGTGTGTGTGTGTGTGTGTGTGTGTGTTTTTCAAACATTATTCTATTCTTTAAATGAGGTAAATGGAATTAATTGTGTACAATATTCCAGATTGGACACATTATCAATTTACATAAACCATCAATACAGGCAATCCTATCCCTATTGAAAAATGAATAAAAAGTTAAATTGGAAAAAAAATTGCAGGCATTTTAGCCATCAATTCTTTTCTTAATAATCCCTAGCATGAAATTTGTCCTTTTCATTGCTGCCAATCGCTAGACTGATGTTTTCATTGAGCTATCCACCTTTACAAGGACCCCATGATTTCTTTTCTGCTTAATTACTTCCAAGTGTACACTATATATCCTGCCTTGATTTCCATGAATGAAAGGGCAGGGTGCAAATATGAGAAATAAACCTTGCAGAAGTAGGCAGAACTAACTTACAGTAGCAGGCTGGGTATGAAATGGCTGTTTCATACTACTCAGGAGAGGATAGAATCACACCAGTAAAACTGATAGAAATGGTGGATTAGATACTTTAAAAGCCAAAAACTGTAAACTGGTATGTCAGGGACAGGGAAACGTGTGTCCTTCAGATGCTGATGGACAAAACCTCCCAACATCACTGGTGAAGAGTGGATGCAAGTTTAAGTTCAAGACTCTGGTATGCACATTTACCTCAGAATATGCCTCATTTATTCAATGGAATTTACTTCTGGGTAGACCTGCCTAAAATGTCCTGTCATCTTCTTTTTGTTCCCCGCCTATTAGAGGTTGGATGGTTTCATGTCTGTGTTGATTTTGGATGCAGCACCTCTAAAGAGTGACATTGGCCAAAATCCTCCTGCTTAGTGCAAGCTAAATGCTAACTTTGGGTCCATTCCTCCCTGGTAAACAAACTGTCCCATGGCGATTCTCAGGGGTGTGTGAGGTGCATTCACCTGCACACCCCAGGAATAACAGTGGCTATGCTTTGTTTACCAAGGAGGAACAAATGGAAATTAACAATTTGATTTAAACTAAGCTACAGGGTTTGGGTCATTCCAGACCTTCTTATACTTCTCTTCCCATTTAATCTATCTTGAAGAATCAGCTGTAACAATCTATTATTTCCCTTTCTTATCATGTAGCCAAAGTATTCTGGCTTTCTGCATTTTCTATGTTTTGTGATCTCCAGTACTTCGTTCATTGCTTTATAACTTCTCATGGGTAACCTCTCAGTCCAAGAGATTCTTATCATGATTGTGCAGTAGAATACATCACTACAGGAAATCACTATAAAATAATATCACTGTAAAATAACTTTCAAATACCATCTAAGACATGTCACACTGACTTGAAAAGTTGTAGTGAAATTAGGAGGCTCAAGGCGCCCACATGTCATCATACTCTCTCACACATACAGTTCTGGTGGCAAACTGGAGCTATTGAGAGATTCTACTCTGGGGACCAAGCACGTATCTTTGAGGGAACCTTTGAGGTCTAAGTTGGGGATATATGTATAAGGCAAGACTTCTCTAGTCTGGTGCCCTCCATTTGTTTTGGACAACAATTCCTATCTTTATTGGTCACACTGCCTGGGGCTGATGGAATTTGTAATCCCAGACATCTGAAGGGTGCCACTCTGGAGAAGGTTGGCATATACATTAGAATGAGTAAAGCCTCCATCTTAAAACTAGCTGTTATAATAACAGAACACTGTGGAGAAATCTAAACATCCTACAAATGTAGGTACCTCTGACTGTTTATACTGGGGAAAAACACTGAGAATATAGCAAGAAAAGGCCCTGATACGGGGTTAGCAAAAAAACATCTTAAGAGTGGTGCTGCCTCCAGCTGTTGTACTGCATTGAGGGAGAAAGGTGACAAATGACTGAGGAAAAAACTAGAAGGTGTTATATGGTGGCAGGCAAGGTAAAAGATGTGTTCCAGAAGGCCAGAAGATGTGTTGAACCAGTAGC